CCGAGACTCCGACGCCGCCACCCGCATTCGGCCCAGGCCTCGCGCCGAGCCCGGGAAGGTCGCAGGAAAGGCCGGGCCGCGCCATCCCCGTCACTTCCAGGGCTGTGACTGCCGCTGCGCCGATCGCTCCACGAGGCCCTCGTCCCAGCGCGGCCCCGGCCTTCCCTCCGGCGGCTCTCGGCCGCTAACCTCTGCCGCTAACCTCGGGCACGGGCTGTGGACCTGGGAGTTTCCCAGGTGAGGGAATCCCTAGACCGGTGTTGTTGTTTTTTTAATTCGATCGCTCCCAGTCCGACCACCGGTGCTCTTGTAGCTATTTCCCTTTAAAGGACACAGGACACCTACACCGCGGAATTACTTCCAAACTCAGAGCAGGAGGTCCCCAGGGAGACTGGCAGCCTTTGCCTTTGATTGGCGGAAGTCCTTGTTCTGGAGAACTTTAGTTATCCTTGGCAGTTGGGATGCCTGAGCTAGAAAGGGCAGGGCTTCCTAGCCGCTCGGCAGTTTCCAGCTACCTTCTAGAAGGAAACCTGTGCCTCTGGGCATCAATTGCTCAAGGTCATACAGGTTGTTGGTGCACAGCTGGAACTGGAAAGAGACCTAATGGTTCCCCTTGGGTGTTCTGATTCGCAGTTCTCAGTTCCATTTGGCCAGCTTTGTGACCAAGGTCATACCGAAAACTATGGCCACCAAGCAAGCCTCAGGTCTCCTGTTGCCGTTAATGAATGATCCCCTTGGTAATCCACCATAAGCACCTTAAAAAAAATAGTGGTATTGTTTCTTCTTGGTTTGAGTTGAAAAAGAGGGCCAGGGGTGCATTGTTATTTAATGAAAAGCGCTCCAAAGGGAATTCAGCAGTCTAAGGAATCCACGGAGGAATCTCAGGAGAGACACTGATTTGGCTGCATGGTCCTGCATAGATTAGTTACCATCTCTGAGACTTCAATATGTTTATCTGCGTATCAGCACAGGTTCCCAAGACCAGGTCGTTAATGTGAAAACCAGTATTACATGGAAATGAAGGACCACTAAAAAGGGGATGAAAGGGGGATAACTACATCATTACACATAATTGCCAAATTATATCATTATGTAACTGCCCAACCACTGAGAATCATTCAGGCCGCATCCAAGCTGACACATGACCTTAACTACGGCAGTCAGTGTTACTCTCAGCGCCCACCTGGATCTTCCTGCCAGATAAGCCTTGTTCATGAGAAACAGTCAGCTAGAAGATTTTTTACTGTTGTCTTAAGTGCAGAGCGGCAGATAACAGGGTTGCCAGTAAGGGAGGGATAGGTCTACTTGCCTCACAGAAGTGCTTGAGGATTCAGTAGTGTACACGAAGGCCCCTAGTACATGTTGAAGGGACACAGCAAACATAGATGTCTCTAGCTAGCAATACATGTATCTTCTGGTCATCCAACAGACCACTGGGTCTTAATAACTGGACCTCAGTAACTGGGTTCTGAAGTGCTGCCCTCTTCAGACTTGGCATGGTGTGGTGGTGAGTTATGTCAGGTTTGCTTAAAGTAAAGCAAATCTATGCCATTGCCCAAACCAAAATTCTTCCATCCCCAAGCTTGTACTTGACTGCCGAGTCATCTTTGGTAAGTACATGAAATCTTTAGAATGAGAAACACAAGCAACACTGTCTGGCAGGGAAAAACAAAATAAAACATACTCCCACATGCAGGAAGTGTTGAGTAGTGGAGGCTCCCTGATACCAGACTCCCTGTGTGACCTTTAGGAGAGTCATTTGACCTTTATGAGCCAGTTTCTTTTCAGGGGTTGGCACAGAAGTGCTTTAAGCTGGGCCAGAGTGGGGCTGGGTTGGGTACTGTTTCTGTCAGCTCTCCCTCTGCTGGGGTCCTCTGAAAGGTTTTGTCTGGGACAAGGGGAGCCCCAGCCACAGTCTTCAATCGCCTCCTGTGCATGTGAAAGTCGGGCATGGAGCACATGATGGAGAATGTGTGCATCTGGATGGTGGTGCTGGCGAGGACGGAAGGTACCACGGGCTGCCAGAGAACAAGCCGGCGGGCCTCGGAAGAAGTACAGCCAGACTACTCCTTAGAAGCACGGATGTGAGACTTCACCTCATGCATGTTGGGCCTGTTTATCTGGAGAGACCAGTCATTGGAGAAGGACATCGTGCTGGGTAAAATAGAGGGACGGTGGAAAAGAGGAAGGCTCCTGACAAGATGGGTGGGCACCATGGCTGCCACGATATGCCCCAGCTTAAAGGTTGAGGATGAGGCAGGACAGGGTGGTACCTCCCTGTGGAGTCAGAACCAACCTGTCGGTGCCTAGCAGCAACACAGCCTAAACCATGCTTCTCTCTCTCACACACACACACATACACACGCGCGCGCGCGCGCGCGTTTCGACTTTTCCTGGCTCTTACATAGTAGACTGCAGAAGATAGTCTTTTCTTAAATCTTATTTTATTTAAAGTCCTGGATCATTCTAATGACTTAGATATAAACCCAACTCAAGTTCCCTGCCATCCACCCCAGCTCACTGTCCCACCTTTCCAAAGATGGAAGGAGAGGTGACAACATGGGGGGATATCACTGCAAGTACGGCAGGGGTGGGGGGCTTTCAAAAAGCTTATGGAGGAAATTCCACGATCTGTTCATTTCCTTTTCCCATGCATTTTTTAAAAGCCCCCTCGTACTAAAGCTCTTTGCTGGGATTTCCTCCTGGGATAGACTTGCTGAGTGAGGGACTGAGGCTGGCCTCAGGTCCTTCCGCACATACTTGCTGAGCACCTATTAGAGCCAGACCCTGGAGACCCTGTCTGGCAGTGAACCAAACAAATAAAAGTCCCTGTGCTCGTGAGTTTACATTTTAAATCCATTTTTGTGGTCCGATCGAATGTCTGGAGGACGTGCATCTGTTCTGTGTCGGTGTCTGATCCTTCGCACAGGGTGGGTAGAAGAATCCATGCCCAATTGTGTAGCAGTGCCAGCCATGGGGTCGCCTCCAAAAGACCTCCCATCTACTGGTGGAAGGAGCCCTGGGAGTGTAGTGGTTCCGAGTGGGGACTGCGATCCACTTGGTTGGCAGTTTGAAACCACCAGCAGCTCCTTAGGAGAAAGACTTGGCTTTCTACTCCCATCAACAGTTACAGTCTCGGAAACCCACAGGGGGTCCCTACGAGTCAGTGAGTCTACTGGTGGGTGGTCCTGCCCTTGAGTTTGGGCAATGGCTTTGGCATAGAGTATCATTTTGGACCTGACCCTTTCCTTTTCAGTGCAGCTACATGTCTTGGTGGGTGCCAGAGAATGGAGGGTGCAGTTCGTTCATACCTGCTTGGCTACTTTTTGTCTGCTAGATACAAAAGCAAAGATGCGTTTGTTTTATTATTAATTGGGCCTTCTTGTTGAGGAATTATTGCCTGAAATATTGGCACCTACTAAGGTGCATGACAAAAAACACTTTCATCCATGTACTCAACCTCTGTGATTGCAGCTGTTTATTATGTAATAGGACTCCCCACCAGGTCTCAGAATGAAGTACCCCTTTAAAATTTATGTTCTCCTAGGAGGAGCCCCAGTGGCAGAGTAGTTAAGAGTTGGGCTGCTAACTGCAAGGTCAGCAGCTCGAAACCACTAGCAGCTTAGAAAAAGAAGGCTTTTGCTTTCTTCTCCCGTAAAGAATGAGAGTCTGGGAATCCCAGAGGCAGTTCTACCCTTCTGACAGAGTCACTGTGGGTAGGCATCGGCTCGATGGCAGTGAGTTTTGAGTGGGTAATATAGGGTTAAGTTGGGGGGGGGTAGAGACATTTTAGAGTTGTGGGGGGGATTACTGGGTGATTAATTTTGCATCTTTCTCCTCCTACCAGCAAATTAACAATAATGACCACCTGTTTACTAGCAGAGGAAATACATCATTTCTTAAAAACCCTAATTCGGTGTATGGCATGGGTGTCAAATGTCATTAAATAAACTTACGTTTGAATCATGAAGTACGACGCTTTGCGGTCACAGGAAAATGGGCACAGTGTGTATTAGGTGAGGCGCTCTCATTGGCGATGTGTCGGCTAAGTGTCGGGCGGTTCAAACCGACAGCTGCTCTGTGGGAGAGGATTGGTGATCTGCCCCGTGAGGATCCCAACCTAGGACCCCTCTGGGGCAGTCAGTTCTCCTTGCCCTGAGGCACAGGCTCGCTGGCAGTTGGCCCCAGAGTTTGCAGGTAGTTGGGCTCGGAGCCAGGAGCCCTGGATTCTGGTTGCCATTCGCCAGTTACCAAGTGTGTACCTATGAGTAAGCCGGTAAGGCAGAGCCTCACTTTCTGGGGCCAGTGTCCCAACCTGGAAAGTGAATGGGCTCTGGGTCTTCCTGGTTCTAAAATGAGTGACAGTTTTCTGTTCCCCCTGCCCCCGTGCTAGACCCGCAGAGGTCCAGAAGGCTGGTGTACAACACCCCCCTCCAGTGGGTGAAAAACCCAGTGTGTGAGCTCTGACACAGCCCAGCTTCATTTCACCTTCCGAACCTTTCATTCCCCTGCTGGAGCCCTGGTGGAGTAGTGGGCTACAGGTGGGCTACAGACGGCAAGGTCAGCAGTTTGAACCCACTAGCTGCTCTCGGAGAGAGATGGGGTTGTCTACTCCCATGAAAGATTCACAGCTTCAGCAACTCTAGGGAGCCATTCTGTGCTGCCCTACGGGCTCACTGAGTGAGAATCCGGGATAGACTGTATGGCAATGGGCTTGATTTGTGATTCATAAAATTGACCGAAACTGTCTAGTACTTTCGACTGTCTAGTACTTTTGATCCACAGAGCAGAGGTCAGTGGCATGCGCAGTTTTTCAAATCTGAACTAGCTTGCCACATGAGGAAAGGATTCCCAGGGAGTTCTGGAAGTAAAGTTCGCCGCATTGTTAGCCATGTGGTCAGAAGCAAAAATGCTTCCAGTTTTACTGTTTACTACTGTGGCCACGTGCTGTGCATGACGTTTCTCTGTTGCTGTTAACGTAGGTCTCTCGGCTGCTGGGGGCATTCCACAACCCAAAACAGGTGACCAGAGGGTTTTCTGGTGGTGTGAGTATATCTACATCTTTATTTTCTTCCTTTTAGAAGTTTCTCAAGAAAGATGTTCTATTTGTATGAGATGATTTATATGAAAATGCTGTTATATAGCATTATCTCCATGCTAGAGGAAATTGGATCTATTTGCAAGGTGTATTAACATTAGTGACTGCTATAAGTGTAAATCTCTTAGGTTACGTGTACCTTTAAGAGAATTGTGTTACAGCTGGCCATGTCCGCTTGTCACATTAATATCTTGAAGAAGCCTTGTTAAAAATAGAAAGAGGGCACCCTGGAGCCTGTTAAACTTTATTTCACAGTCTCCTTTGGGTCCAGTTGGAAAAGCAGTGCGAGTCAAGAAAACAAGGACTTGTTGAGAAGCTTCGAACTTGCTTTGCATTTTCATTTTGTGAGCCTCCTAAAATCAGTAGATTGGTCGCCAATTAGGAGTCCCTTCAACATCTCCCAGCCCGAGAGGGCTCTCTGCCCAGCGTGGCTTGTGTCGGCCACGTCACTGTGTCCTCCCTTCCGAAATCTGCTGCTTTTAGACCCCCAGCATCAGTCTGTGCCGTCAGAGCTGGCGCCACACTTTTAGCGTGTTCTGAGGCTGTGGTCAGTGGCTTGCCATTCATTTTTATTTTTACCCCCTATTTAAGGACTCGGGTGCGGATTTCCTAATTCCTGTACTCCGTTTGACATCTGACGCTATGAGCAATGTGTAAGACCCACCGTGTCTTTTCCTTTGTGCCCCATTTGCTTCCTGGCTGGCCTGATGGCGTTGGCGATTACATGTCGGAGAACAGGAAGAAGAAGCCCATGGTTCTTTGGCTCTGCTTATGCAAAAGATGCAGCTGATGGCTCAAAGAGTGTGGGGCTAGCACTTCAATCAAACACAGGCTGCAAAGCCGTGAGATGTTCATTGCCCTTTACTATTAGCCCATTTTCAAAAAAAGATAGTAGGCTGGTAAGAGGGGTTCTATTTGAAGAAATAGAGAAGATATTACTTCCAATCTACCTGCCCAGTGTTATCACTGGACGGCAAAGGCCCAGAGTAAGGGTTGCCAAACTTTTGAGACGGAAGTGCTAATCCTGTTCTTCACACCAATTTAAAAATCGTTTGAGAGCCGTAAATATATTTTTACACACCAATGAAATCACCATTTTCTGAATCATATCCTTTCAGTAAAACCAAGAGAGCTCTATGTTCGTTTTCAATCTCACTTCGCTTTTCAAGCTGCAGTTTGCCGACCTCTGATCCCGAGAAACTGGAAGGAATGATTTTACAAAAAGAAGGTGCCCAGGCGAATGGAAATGAATAGAACCTGGGACCATTGTCTGGGCCAGGCACCAAAGGTGGGAGGAAGCCCCCACATAGTCCAGGCCTCATTCCCAGAGGAGCCGGCACGGAAATTGGTGCCGCGTTCGTGCGCCACCTAGTGCTCAGGAAGTGTGCTGCTCCCAGAATGTCAGCGCCAGTCTGTTTTCAAAGCAAGACACCTCCTTTTGAGAGCCTTGTAAGGGTGCGGGGCAGTGACTAGTGACTCCCCATCCGTTTGTATTGCACTCACTGGTTTTTACCTTCATTAAAACGCTCTGAAGGGATTTCCCCACACGTTTGTTTAGTTTTGTTTCTGTGTTTGAAATGCTGGCTGCGTTTTGTTTGAGGCCATTGGAATAAAACCTTGTCAGTTATAAATGCACATTCGACCCTGCCGGGGGGTGGGGAGTCCCATATGCTTTTCTCCACGTGTTCTGACAGACCTCAGGGCTATTGTGGAAATGTGTCTGAAAGTGTTTCATAAGAGTGAAGAAGTTAACGGGAGAGTGAGCTTTCTAGGAGCCCAGTGGCTCGGACAGTGCTTGCCTTCATGAGAAAGCCTTCGAGTAGTAGCGAGAGAACAGGCCTCAAATACTGAGCTGCCTCCCGGTTTACAGACTTGAATTAAATCGGCTCTTTGTAGCTCATCAGAAATGAAATCAATTGGGTAGTCAGCTGGGTAGTTTAATTTGCTTTCTCTGAAGAGGGTTGTTTGAGCCCTTGGTGCAAGCTCCTGACTCAGGGAGTGAGTGGAGAACGGGGGGATTTGCCGTTCGTTGTTTCTCCCCTCCACTTCGGTGTTCTGAAGAGTATTTGGATTTCTCAGTCAGTGTCGACTCTTTGTGAAACCTCCCACACCAGTTCTTAACTCTCTCCTCTGGTGGCTTCTTACATTCAGGTTCAGACAGTAACTCTAATTCCAGGAGATGGCATTGGCCCGGAAATCTCTGCTGCTGTTATGAAGATCTTCGACGCTGCCAAGGTCAGTGTGCTTTTCTTGGCGGCAGGGTGGGGGTGACAATTCAGAATAGTCGGAATAATTTGTAGGACAGGTTTTCTTAGCCACTTGGACTCTGTGGATTCTTAGCGGGGTGTCAGTGTTGCTCTGAAGCTGCCGATGCCTGTGTTGGATCTTCAGAGATACTGCCAACTCTCGTAGAAGATGCGCTCGTGCTGGCCCTTGCCACCGCCGGTGATGTCGACGATGGCAGAGCCTTCAGCTCACCCAGACCCCACCAGAGGAGCGCCGCTGCGCTTGTGGCTCTTGGAGCCCGGCCCCGGTTCCAAGTCTCTGAACTGCGCTTCGTCACCAGGCGACCCTCATGCTGCCTTCGTGGCAGAAGGAGAATGGAAGTGGTATTCCAAAAAACTGAAAGGAGGGGTACTTTGGAACGGGGTTGAAATTTTGTTGTTGTTGTTCAATCTCCAATGGGGTACTAGTATTCTCCTCAAGATGGGATATAGTTCCTTCAGCAGCTTAGCTTTTAGGACAGCCAGATGTTTTGGAATAAATACAAAATTTGGACATGGCTTGCCGGGATCCTTTGTCACTGCTATGGGGGTCGCTGCCCGATGAGATGGTGCCCAGGATTAACTCAGTGGCTGTGCTAGTGGTGGCAGGGATAAGTCAAGGGACTTGGGACGTGTTCCCTTTCGCTTGTCCGAGTCTGCAACCAGAGCTCCCTCGGAGAGGCTGAGGCTCGTCCAGTGGCACACACCTCAAGGGAACGGAGGACGAATCGGTTCCGAGTTGGGTCTTGGACCACATCTTAGTCCGTGTCCTGTGAACATGCGGAGGTCGTCCTCAGGCAGTGTGCTGGCTTCTGGATGTGTGTGGACACACAGGAGGAAGACCCCAGGCTTTACCTTCATAAGTTAGACACTGTGCTTTTTATTGTTGTTTCCAGTTGTACTGGCATAGAATGCACATGCCATACAAGGTCTGCAATTCGGTTCTTTTTTTGTTTTTTATTCAGTTCTTTTTTGTTGTTATTTTTTTAGTGTTTTCAGAGAGTCGAAAGACCACCACTACAATCTAATTTTGGACCACTTCTCCCCTTCCCTAAAGGAACTCCCCCCGCCCCCCACGTTCGTGAGGAACTTCTACTTTTCCCCTCTCAGCAGCCCTGTGTGTGCCCCATCACGGTGATTCAGATTCCTGGTAACCCCACAGGACAGGTTTCAGAAAGCAACACTGGTGGCACAGTGGTTAAAGTGCTGGGTTGGCTGGTGGAACTCACCAGCCGCTCAGCCGAGTCAGGGAAGGGTATACAGCCTTGGCCACCCCCCAGGGCGGTCCTCCTTGGCCCCAGAGGGTTGCTCTGAGTTGGAATCCACTCCAGGGAATGGGTTTGGTTGACTTTGACTCTTTACAGGAGTAGATCACCAGGGCTTTCCCACCAAGCTGCTGGGGAGCTTGTGCCGTCAGCCTTTCCAGTTCACAGCCAAGGGCATACTCATTGTGTACCTGGTCTCCTTACTGTATCCCCAGGACCATCAGTCCTCTCTCTGCCTGTGCTGGAGAGTCATACAAGTAGGGTCTTTCGCGGTTCCTTTTACTTAGCCTAGTGCTTATAAGGCTCATCCCTGCCGTAGCACCTGTCAGTACTAGGCGGTGTTCCTGTGAACCCCCGTCCTCTGCTCCAATTCTAATTATAGCCACTCTAAAGCAGCCTTGTGAAAAAAATGTGGGCAAGGTGGCAGCTGGGGTGGATGACTTGGCAAGGGCACTATTGCAAATCCCCTTGTCCATACCGGAGAACACCTCTTCTCGTGCCCCAGGAGCTTCCTGGCCTCCGGTCATACATGTGCTTCCTAGTTGTGCTCTGAGTTGCAGTGTGGGTAGTGGTGTACAGCTGCTCACTGCTCTGGTCTGGCCCCTAGGCGCCTATTCAGTGGGAGGAGCGGAATGTCACCGCCATCCAAGGACCTGGAGGCAAGTGGATGATCCCCCCAGAAGCCAAAGAGTCCATGGATAAGAACAAGATGGGCTTGAAAGGTACCACTGGAGTGGATGAGAGATGGTTACTGCTCATCTCTGCTGCGGGTCTTCTGGTGTGAAAGTGTGTGCCGTGAACTCCACAGGCTTGACCATCTGCTAGAGTAAAGCCGGCTTTTGATGAAGCGGTGCATTCATGCTTGTTGGAAGCTCTGTGTCTCATATTGTGACATTCCTCCCCCCAGTAAGAACATTAAAGTGTTACATCAGATGACAACACACAGATATTCTTGACTAGATTTATCTTTTCCTTAATTATACGTCTTTAAAAATGATTCAAATTACTACCTCTTTAAGGTCAAGATTCAGACTGCATGCAAGAGATTCATTTTTTTGTTTTATACAACCTTTTTTCTTTTTTTTAAACATTTCATTGGGGCTCATACAACTGTTATCGCAATCCAAACACACATCAATTGTGTAAAGCTCATTTGTAGAGATTCATTTTCGACCCAGGCTCTGAACCCAGACAGCTCTAGCTTTGATTCTGATCTCTGCCACTTACTGGCTCAGAGACTTGGGGCAAATTTCTTATTCTTGTTGTGTGTGTGTGTGTGTGTGTGTGTGTGTGTGTGTGTGTTTTAAATGATAATAAAAGCTCAGGAAAACTAGCCTCTGTATGAGGTGGGAACTTGGATGTTGTCCACTAAGAACGGGTGATGGCATCCTGCCAATCAGCAGCCCTGTGGGGGTCCCGCTATCATAGGGTGGTGGTGGTGAAGGTCCAGAGATGCCCTAGCTCGGTGTGTGAGATCATCGTGGCATGCAGTGCATGCTCAAAAAACGAGGAAATGTCCTTCTTCCTTTGCATCCGAAGGCGAGATTCGAGTTCGTGGCAGACGACATTTTACAAGGTAGCCCGGGTGTCAGGCCACAGTGTGTCCTAGTCTTGTCATCCACGTATTCTTTGTTACAGGCCCGTTAAAGACCCCGATAGCAGCTGGTCATCCATCTATGAATCTGTTGCTGCGTAAGACATTTGACCTTTATGCCAACGTCCGACCATGCGTCTCAATCGAAGGCTACAAAACCCCGTACACCGACGTCAATATTGTCACCATCCGTGAGAACACGGAAGGAGAATACAGTGGCATCGAGCACGTGGTAAGTGGACGTTGGCGCTGTTCTCATTCGTAGTTGGTGTGCCTCCGCTGACCTTGGGACAGAGGGACAAGTTCCTGGATTGTGGGTGTCTGTGTTGGTGCTGGTCTTGGCCTGACACGCTCCAGTGGATGCTTGAGGTCCCAGGAGTAGTCGGGCATGAGGTTCAGAGCCCAGGAGGGGGACTCGGCCCTGTACTTGAGTCCTGAACCCCGACTTCCCAGAGGGTGCTGTTTGGCAAGCGACCATCACTGCATCTCAGTTTTCCTCGCCTGTGCAGTGGGGGGTGTAGTGCGAACATTGAATGAGGGTGCTCTGCCTGGCTCTGGCCGCGAGCAGCATTGTGCGCCCACAGCCAGCTGCTGAGTGCTGTTTCAGCCAGGTGGCATTTGCCCCCTTGCAGATTGTCGACGGAGTTGTGCAGAGCATCAAGCTTATCACCGAGCAGGCAAGCAAGCGCATTGCTGAGTTTGCCTTCGAATACGCCCGGAACAATCACCGGAGCAACGTCACCGCCGTGCACAAAGCCAACATCATGTGAGTCCCTGTGGGCCAGCCCGCTGGCCTGTTTTGTGCGGCTGGTGGGGGTGGCCACACTCAGTGACAGGCGCTGCTTGCTGTGCTCAGCTGGCTGGTTGATTTCTCACCTTCCTGAACAATCATTTCTAACCAGTTGGAGGAGGGTCAAGCATTTGCTTCTCCTCTCTGGCCTCACTAATGCGCTGTGTCAGTGACGGGGAGCGCTGGGAGGGCACAGACAGGAATCCAGGTGTTGGACTGCCGAAGAGGGCCTGAGGGTTATTGGGAAAGGAAGCCAGAGATTCTGGACTCTCCAGATCCTGTGGCCAGTTAAACAAAGGCCCCAAAAGTCAAAGGGCAGGCTCGTTGGTGTTTTAGAAGTAGATTAGTGGGAGTGTTGCTGTAACTGCCACCTGCGCAGAGGCTTAAAAGAGTGGGTGCTAAGGGTGCTCACAGGGCGAATACAAGGACCTGGCACACTGCTCTAGCAGTTTAAATGCTCCTCATCCCCAATCTGTGAAAGCCCTCGCTGAATGTATAAGGGACGTTTTCTCGAGCTAAGCAGTGACGGCCATGAAAACCCTGGAAGGGAAGAGACAGAGCAAGTGCAGTATCTTCTCCTCAGGGGCCGTCTTCCCTCCTGCTGAGCAGCCCTGGGAAGGGCCGTCCGCTCCATTATGTGCGTGCTCGCCGACTTCGCTCTTTTTCACATCCAGGACATTTCCACTTGTATTTCATTAACTTGCTTAAAAAGTAGTTTGACTGAATTTGTGATTAGACCCCTGCCTTTTGGTGCTTCAGTATCCTGGGCGTAGTTTTACTTCTTTGATTTGATCCTTTGTAATCTCCTCCCCTCCCCGGCAAGTCTTTGCTCTCAACCACTTTTATTTGATTAAATACAGGCGAATGTCAGATGGACTTTTTCTGCAAAAATGCAGGGAAGTTGCAGAAAACTGTAAAGATATTAAATTTAATGAGATGTACCTTGATACAGTATGCTTGAATGTAAGTATATACCCACGTTTGTCTCCATTCCATGGTGTGCAACATGTATTCACGTCCGTGTGTGTATGTGTGTGTGTGCCGTGCACCTTGCGGACACTAACCGTGCGAATGCCTTCCTTTCAGATGGTGCAAGACCCATCCCAGTTTGATGTTCTCGTTATGCCAAACTTGTATGGAGACATCCTTAGGTGAGTCTGGCCACACTTTCTGGCTCTTCTAGCCCCATGATTATTGATCAGGTTGCACAGCGGTTAAGCAGTTGGCCCGTAACGAAAGGTCTGTGATCCCCACCCAGCAGCCCCTCCACAGGAGAAAGATGAGGCGTTGCCATGAACATCTAGAACCTTGCATTCCCTCGGGTTCAAGTTCTACTCTGTCCTGTCAGCTTGCTCTAAGTCACTCGCTGACCATGGGTTTGGTGTGGTGGTGGGTATTTAACTTAACAAACCCTAGATGAAATGTGACTTGATTAATCAAAAATAGCATTTGTTATAAGATAGAGATTGAAATCTCCAAATCACTTACTACCCTCGGATTGAGTCCGACTTACGGCAGCCCCAGACCAGGGGTCTGTAAACTATGGTTCTTTTGGTACATGCGGGTGGCTTTGAAGTAAAACTGAAAAATTTTAAAGATGTTATTTAGATAAAGGTGGTTTCATTTGTTTGTGAAAATATATTTATGACTCGAACAAATTTCAAATTGTTGTGAGGGGGACAGGATTGACTCTTCTCAAAAGTTTGCTGACCCCTGGCACCGAGTAAAACTGCTCTTTGGGGTTCTGAAGCTGTAAAGTTTGATGAGAGCAGATTGCCTCCTCCTTCTCCCACAGAGCTGTGGGTAGTTTCGAACTGCTGACCTTGCAATTAGCCCCTCAAGGCCTACTCTGTCTGCCAGCAGAGCCCCTTGAATTCTAGTAAGACAGGCAGAGGCATCAATGACTCAGTGCTGGTGGGGTTCCTTCTCTTTTGTTATCAGCTCAGCTCCTGGCTATTGCTCTGTAATCATGAGTTCAGCTATTTTATTGATTGATTGCAATCTTATATAGGTCAATGATCCTTAACTATTTTTTTTTAATGGGGAAGGGTGCTGAGGGGGAGCAGTTTCAGGCTTTCAGAAAAACTAAGAATGCTATAAAGAATTCTGGTAATAAGAAAAAAAAAGAATTCTGTTAATAATAATAATTTATAAATTATCAAGGGTTCATCAGGGAGAGGGGAGCGGGGAGGGAGGGGGAAAATGAGCTGATACCAAGGGCTCAAGTGGAAAGCAAATGTTTTGAGAATGATGAGGCTAACACATGTACAAACGTCCTTGACACAATGGATATATATATATATGGGTTGCGATAAGTTTTCTGAGCCCCCAATAAATGGTTTAAATTAAAAAAACAAACAAACCATGGGGGGTATAAAAAGAATTCTGGTATTCCACCCCTTGCTCAAAGCATGGACAAACACACATGGTTTAAAATATATATTTATGGATTCTCTCATATTCCTCTCCTAGTGGGAGAGCTACATACCCCCTCCTTGAAAGTGGGCTCCAGCCAGTGACTTGCTTCTCATGAACGGACTGTGACACGCGTGATGTTGTCAGGCGTGCATGCACACAGAGACACGTGTTGGCTGAATGGTTTTTTACTGTCATCTCTCTTTCATGTATTTGTCAACATTGTTCTATATGGAAAGGCCTTGCTTTATATTCAGGGGCTGGATCCATCACTGTTGCTCATTTTTCGGGTGTTCAAGCTGTCCCAGTTTGAGGGGGGGCAGCCTGGTCTTGTGCAAGGCTCAGCCCCAGAATCAGACATTTCGCCAAGGCCCCCTGGTTCCATTCCGTGAAGAATGGTGTTTCCAAACCACTATGTTGGTGGCTAGGTAAGATCTTTGGTTTTTTCCCAAAATGCATTCTGAAGTGTTTTCCTGCCCCCAGCGACCTGTGTGCAGGGTTGATCGGAGGACTTGGAGTGACGCCAAGTGGCAACATTGGCGCCAATGGAGTTGCCATCTTCGAGTCGGTAAGGCCCTTGCCCCTGAAGCAGGATGGCCCGAGCGGCAGGAGGGTTCAGGAGGGGTTGTCTACGGATCTTGTAACATTTGAGTTATTCACACTGTCAGAAGAAAAGGATGCCTCCTGTTTTTCATATAAGTTTGGCCTGTTCATTCCCCCCAAATATCTATTCCATATCCCTCAACATTAAAAAATACATACAGCTTTCTGCCTGTGGGTGCCACCGAGGAAACTTCGTTGGGGTCCACCGACATCATTTCTAAGTCAGTCTCCTAAAAAGCTACAGAAGCTATTCCTTGCAGGGTTGAGTTGTGCAACGGCAGACGAGAGCCCCCTGAGCCCTTTTGAGCAGTGGGGGGTGCCCACAGACTGCATGGTCATGAGACACAGTCTTCCAAGTTTGGACCAATGAAGGGAGGAAACAGGAGGCAGAAGTTCTGGCCCTTAGTGGTGGTGGAGGTCAGTACTTTCACAAGCCATGAAACCAAGGGGCGACGGTGGTGCAAGCAGTAGCAGCAGCCATGGCAGTGGTGGAGTTTTTAATGACTACCAGGGAACAAGGCGCCTTAGGAGAGGAGGGCCAGAGAAGTGACAGGGGAGCTACAGGTTGCAACCGATTTGTGGATTCAGCCCAGCACAGCAGGGTCTAGCTGCTACAAAGACCTATTGTAGACAGTACTCATGTGTCGGGGCAGAAGAACTTGAGGACTGTATTTGTGACTAATTGTATAACTGGTTATTTTAATTTCAGTTCTGTGAAAAGTGCAAAGCATTCCAACAAAGGGCATTCATGTAGTTTTCTTGTTTTGCACTCCTACTGTTGATTGCTAAAGGTAAACAGTCTGATCATGATACTGAATAAATGCCTTTAAAACAAACAAAGATACATTTCCCCAAAAATTGATTGGAAAAAAAGGTTGGCCCAATATTTTACTTAGAAAGAAGCTCAAAAGAAAAGAAAAGAAGTAAGAAGCTCAAAATAATAATTTTTAATGGAAAATCGAATGTTTCTAAGTTCTGTGATGGAGAAGTACACACAGTAGATATTTGGTAACCATCTCCTGCTGGTGAGGAAAAGTGGGGAAGCCCCACCCCATCTTTGGCAGGAGAGGGATTTTGGTTTGGGGTCCTTGTCCACTTCTGTGACTCTTCCTATTACATAGGTTCATGGAACTGCCCCGGACATAGCTGGCAAGGACATGGCCAACCCCACCGCTCTCCTGCTCAGCGCTGTGATGATGCTGCGTCACATGGGCCTTTTTGACCAAGCGGCAAAGATCGAGGCTGCATGCTTTGCTACAATTAAAGACGGGAAGGTACGTGTAGGTCTCGTGCTGGGTGGAGTGAGTTTCTTCCATATCCACAGCTGGGGGAAGGTCATAGTTCTCCGGAGGACAGAGCGATTGATGACCTCAGGAGGTGTGCACACTTTCTCAGGCACACATCCTACTGTTTCATGGTTTGGGAGCCAGAGTCTGGGGTTTCCTATCACATCCTTACCTAAGGGGCCACAAAGGGTTCCTATCCTGTTTCCTATCACATCCTAACCTAAGGGGCCACCTAACCTGGTGGCACAAAGGGTTCAGTAGTGGGCTGCTAACCACAAGGTCTGTGGTTTGAGTTTACTGGCCACTCTGAGGGAAAAATATGAGGCTGTCCGCCCTTGTAAAGATTTACAGCCTCGGGAACGGGACGCTACGCGTCAGAAGGTGGTGGGTCTGGTTTTTTCAGTTTGGGTTCTAGTTTTAGCCTGCCTCATCTTGTCCAATCCCAGCTACCTCTCTGATTTTTGACCAGTCCATTAATTTTCTGGGCCACTTGTTTTCTCCTGTCAGTGCTTTACATAGTGAAGTATGAAGAATGTAAACTGATGGCTAGTCTTTAAGGTCCTGGACTTCAGGGAGCTCAGAATCTAAAAGTGGAGACAGATATGATGTGTCGATACTCAGTGGTATCGTGTGTTATAGTTTGTACACCTGGAATAGAAAATTTTTATGAAAGTAATAATAATGACTAATATGAATCATACTTCCACAATCCCAAGTCCTTTATTTATTTATGTTATGTATTTCTGTATCTATAAGAACTTAGGATTCTGCAAGTATGCAATTAACAGTCGCTATCATTATTTAATCTTTTTTTTTTTTTTTTTTTTGTGAAGAGACCCCCGAGGGGTTGCACCGTTCCTGGAAGTACTGCAATACCAGGTCGATGCGTGGAGTGGACGGAGCAAGCTCCTATTCCATCTCCCTGCTCCAAAAATCCATTTAATATATTGTCCTCGGATAGAGGACGTATCAGATATTAAACTGATAAGAACAGATACTACACTTGATCTTAGCCAAAAGGCCGAGAAGCGATGCATTATTTAATCTTAATTACATATATACAAGAGCTTAGAATTGTGAAGTGTGTGTTACATAAGTACAGAGAGAGAGAGAGAGGAGCCCTGACCGCGTAGTGGTGAGGAGTTGGGCTTCGATTCTCAAGGTTGGCAGTTTGAAACCACCAGCTGCTTTCTCCTCCTGTGGAAGGAGGGTCCTGGTCTAGAAAGGCAGGGGCAGTTCCGCCCCGGCCTGCCGGGTGCCTGTGAGGAGGCGCTGGCTCCACGGCGGTGAGCTACCTACACAGTCTTCTATCAAGCTGAGCCCACCAGTAATCACAGCTCGTGCAGATGATGGTTTAAGGGGTCTGCTCTAGGCCTCACAGCCCCTACGTAGCAGTTGGGGTTCTCACCGTCTGGCTATTGCCCAACCGGCTCCCCTTCAGCTGTGGGCAGGCGGGGTGGCTTGTCCACTGGGTGGTTGTGATAGTTAGGAGGAGGGTGGGAGCCATCATCCTTCCCACTGCTGGGCCTTGGAGGCTGATCTTTGTCTCTTACTTTTTTTTTTTTTTTAAGTTCCGTCATTGGAAATTTCTTTCTTACGCCTAAAATACAAATCATTTCAAACTTGTTTTTAACAGCCTGCGGCGTTCCGCTGGTGGCCTGAGACTCTGAGTTTGGTTCTGAAGCTGTGTTGGGGTTGGTGCGCTCTAGACCCCAGCAGAGCTGCCGAGGGACACAGCGGCCCCTAGGGCGGCGCAGGATGCCATGGTGGGACAGCGTCTGGGAGCACAGAGGGGAAAAGGGGGCTGTGAGAGTTAGTGATTTAAGCATTTCCTCGGCATCTGTTCCCCAGCCTCCAAACAGGAATCGGTGCTTTAAAAATCCCAAGGACTTTCTCCTGTCAGAAGCTCACGGGGCAGGTCTACCCTGCCCTATAGGGTCGCTATGAGTCGGCTTCAACTCGCTATCAGTGTTTGGTTATTCATTTCTTTCTTTCCTTGGGGTCTGTTGGCTGTCCAACGGGAAGTGTTCTGGAAGCTTCCCTGGGCAGTGGCACCACTGGATTCTTTGCAGAGACTCTTGTGAGTCCCGGTTGGGTTTTCTCAGTCTTCCCTAGAGGTCGTGGGGTGGAGCCTCGCTTGAAAGTAAAGACGAAAATGGGAGTGCGGAGTGGAGACCCAAAGCCCATTTGTAGGCCACTGGAGATCCCCTTGCAGATAGGTCTCAGGGAAGAGACTAGCCAGTCAGGGTGCAATGTAGCAATGATGAAACATACAACTTTCCTCTGGTTCTTAAATGCTTCCGCCCCCCTTATCATGATCCGAATTCTACCTTGCAAGTCTGGCTAGACCAGAGGATGTACACTGGTACAGATAGGAACTGGAAACACAGGGAATCCAGGGCGGATGATCCCTTCAGGACCAGTGCTGTGAGTGGTGATACTGGGAGGGTAGAGGGAGAGTGGGTTGAAAAGGGGGAACCGATGACAAGGAACTACATATAACCTCCTCCCTGGGGGACAGACAATAGAAAAGTGGGTGAAGGGAGACGTCGGACAGTGAGACATGAGAAAATAATAATTTATAAATTATCAAGGGTTCATGAGGGAGTGGGGAGCAGGGAGGGAGGGGGGAAATGAGCTGATGCCAGGGGCTTACGTGGAGAGCAAATGTTCTGAGAATGATGAGGGCAATGAATGTACAAATGTGCATGACACAATTGATGTATGTATGGATTGTGATAAGAGTGGTATGAGCCCCTAATTAAATGATTAAAGAAAATACCATGGCCTGGGCAGGCACACCTCAGTCCTCAAAGGGGGGAAAAAACGGCGAATGAGCTCCGGTCTGCGGAGTGTCTCTGGTAAACAAGCCCTCAGTCGGGTGTCTGCGTGTCTACATCCTGGTCTTTGCCTTTCCCCCTTTTTCAGAGTTTAACGAAAGACCTGGGAGGCAATTCCAAGTGCTCCGACTTCACAGAGGAGATCTGCCTCCGCGTCAAGGACTTGGATTAGCACTCCTGCCCGGCGTTTGCACCAGTCACTCCAGTGGACACTGCAGCAGCCATGCCTTCGGTTTGCTTGTTTCTCGACAGAGTGCGTGTTTGGATCTGGCCTCTTAACCATGACACACCTGTGTAAGAGGTGCAGGCGATCAATTCCCTAAGGCCTGCTTTCAAAGGACTTTTTCCAAGTGCTGTTTTTATTTATTATATGCCTACCTGGTAAATTTTAATTCTGCCATTGTTAACCATGTTACACTTAAGTTAAAACTGTTTTTTTGTTTTTTCCCCCCCTCTCAGCTGTAAATATGATACAAAATTAATAAGAGAAAACATCTATCTAACTTTTTACAGGAAAGATCTGGGTTTTTTGCTTTATGAAAAATATAATGGAGATAAAACAGGATACTGACATTATAGCACAAGATGATATTCTTCTAAAATCAGAAACGAAAAAAAAAACAACAAAAAACAAAAAAAAAATCAGAAACGGGCACAGGAGAAACTCGTTGGGAAAGTTCACCTCACAAATGAAACAAAAAGATTGGTCCTTTACTGTATGAATAAAGACTTCAGATCCAAGAAATCTATCACGAGAGATGTAATTTTTGTTAAATAAAATGTAGGGAGTCTGTTAGGTACAAACTCACGCTGCGAGTGTTCGATTGTTTTGTTGTCTTGAGATTGACTGTTCTTTGTACCCCTGTACGAAATCCTGACTTGGGTGGGTCTGGAACGGAGAATGACTGCTAACCAGCCATTGGCGCTGGGGCAGTACTGCTGCAGGACCCAAGCCTAGATCTTGGCTGTCGTTAAGGAACTTGGGTGCTGAGTATTTCACCTTCACCTTCTCCAAAGCACCAACCGTCCGGCGTTGCGCCTTCACACCAGGAGTGAAAGATGAGGTGGGGGAACCAAGGGCAGACTCCGGGAGCTGGTTCTCAAAATCAGGCCAAGCAGGGGCTTGGCCTCAGCTTTGGACCTTCCACCCCCTCCCATGCTGAATCCCTTAGCATCATCTTTATGAAACTGCAGACGCAACGTTACTCTTTTCACAAACAGCTACTCTTCAGCCTCCCACGCGCCAAAGGCAACCTATGGCAACCCTCCCTTGTAACCTTGCCAACCTGCCGCTCCTATCCAAAAGCATCTCTAAACGCCAGTCTCTGCCTGAGTCTGTCTTCAGCCTGCGACCAGTCTGGCAAGCAGACGTGTATCGTGCTTGCTCTGTTTTATTGGGCTGCCTGTTCCAAATAAAAAATTCCCAAACGGATCACATGTACGCCCCTCTGCCTGTTTCCTGTTTGGCTTGGTCTTGGCCCGGCCTGCTGCCGACCACGGGCTGCTTGAGGTATTCTGGGGGTGGGGGTGGCAGGCAGGGGCTTTTACTAGAGTGTTTCCCTGACCCTCGCCTGCACCTCTGTTCCATTAACTCACTCCCCTCTACCAGGGTCCCACCTGCTCAATTGACACAGTGTAGGTGCTTGCATCCCTCATTAAATACAATCCAGTAGACGGCAGCAGTTTTATTAAGCATCAGGTGAGTTGTGCTTGAGGCTGAGGATAAGGGATTGATGGGGTTGACTGCCTCCAGGGGTGTGTCGGAGGTGGGGGCCGTTAGGACTGCCCACCCTCTGCACCACACCCGAGAAACACAAAGCTCACCCAGCCCGCTCTGAACAGGCCACTGGTTAAAATCTACCTGGAACTAAGGCCGAAAATGATCAGCCCTTCAGTTCTGGAGGGAGGGCTGATTGTCATCTGTCACTGGAACAAAAAAGCAATCCTTAAAATTAACACTAAGTATCCACACATGAGGCTTTTCAGGATTTTCAGCTATTGGCACAAGACGTGGCAATGGGAACGCCAGAGCCGCAGCCTCCGTCACTGGAGACCTAACGCCGGGGTCGGAAATCCCCGCACCTTTATTGAGGAGGACCTGGGGTCGGGCAAACGCTCCCACGCCTGGCCTCTATTCACCAATGGCAAGGGCAGCCTGGTTACTTGTTCTGCAGTTGGTAGAAGGAACCGATGATGTCTTTGTACTTCTCCAGAACCGCAAGCCGCCTCAGCTTCATCGTGGGGCCTACCGAAGCAAGGAAGCCATGAGTCGGGTGGGCTCTGGGGGACCTGACGGGTGGGCTGCAATCCAGAACAAGTGAGTCCTGCAACTTGGGACAAACTGGTAGTCAACCCCCCAGATGGCTGTAGTGACATCTACGCTGCACTGGTGGCCCGTACCTGCGTGGCCCCTCCCATGTACGAGTGACCCAGAGAGTGGAAGAAGTGATGGCACGTTACTTCTGACTCAAAGACCCTATAGGGCAAGGTAGGATGATGAAACTGTAACTCTTTATGGGAGTGAAAGCCTCATCTTTCTCCCTTGGAGGGGCTAGTGGTTTCGAACTGCTGACCTTGTGGTTAGCAGCCCAACGTGTAACCACTACGCCACCAGGGAAAGGTGGTAAAAGATTGCAGATTCTGCCTTGGATCTTGGAGCAAGTCACACACATAGACAGCCTCTGGAAGGCCCACTGACAACAGCCATTTGCCAGCAAGGAATCGAGGCCCTCCAACCTCCACGAGCCGGGACTCCTCCCATCGCAGATGGCATCTTCTGTAGCCTCATGACCTGTCATGAGGGTCCGCTAGGCTGCTCCTGGGTTCCTGCCCCACAGACACGTTTTTTGTTTTTTTTAAGTTTGTTGTTTTAAACTGCTAAGTTTTGAAGAGGGATTTGTTGCACAGCCATAGATATACCAGTGCGCAAAGCATCTGCATTTCAGTGGAGGCTCGTGCGGACGTCAGACATTAAGTTCCGACTGACTACAACGAGACAGCAGACAAGCCCCGGTGAGAGAGGCCTGGCCACAGTCTTCCCCTAATCTTGGCCTTGGCTCCTTGCCTACCCTGAAGCAAGATTGAGAGTACTGTCATAGGGGATCCTGGGTAGCTTTGTGCCTCTCGCGTGGCTGTGTGAGTGGAGATGCAAAAACCATTTATATAAAATAGTAGAACATCTAACTCACTGGCCTTGGGTTCAATTTATCAGCACCAGCCAACCAAATAGGGTCCAGACCCTGTCAGAGTTGCTGCAGAGAGTTGAATGTGGTTCAGCCCCGATGGCTTGGGGGAGCCTCACTAAGACGTCATTGCCACCGGTGCCAGGAATATTACCGCCAAGAGCGACCTTGGCCTTCCATTTGAGGCTGCAGCAGAGGCCTCTGAAGGCCAGTTCTGGTTCTGGGTACCATGATCCAGAGACGCTTCATCTTCCTTCCCTATGACATGAGCTGGCCCTCCAGGTCAGAGTAGTCTCACCGCCAGAGCCCCATGACTCCTGGAGCAGGGCCTTCATGTTCCCATGTGATTTCAGGGGAACATAGTCCCATGGCCAAGGCAAAGTCAACTGTTGAGTATCTTAATAAGTCCTAGCACCTACTTGGTATACTCAACAAGCCAGACCTACTAAGCCCGTGCACAGAAGGATCGATAGCCTCCCACAGGAAGGGCATGGGTGTGAACACAAGTGCTGACCTTACCATGGCCACTCAGCTGCTTGTAATGGGCACCTCCCAGACACTCCTAGCCCTGGATAGAGTGAAACAAAGGCGAACCAAAAACACCTACCGAACTCTCCCCCTGAGATGGAGAAGTCCCTTTCCAGAATGGCCCACTTCTGGATGTGGTAGGGGCGGGCCGCTGCCTTCTGGTTGATCCTCTGGATCCCTGCTTCGATGGCCTGGTACACGGCCTCGTCCTTCTTGCCCACAATCTCAGACACGGTGGTGGCTCTGCTGCCCACTCTCTGGCAGAACTCCACAGCCTGTTCGCTCAGATTATCGGTTGGATCAGAGGTGTCTGGGTCCAGAGTGCACTGAAAAGCAGAGATCCATCAGGACCGAGGTCTTACAGCTGAGGTCAAGGATGTGAATCACTGGGCTGTCTTTCAAAGAGCTGGTCCTCAAAGGAGGGGGGATGCTGTGCTGATTAGTGAGCCCCTGGTGTGGGGGGTGGAGCAAAGGTCAGAGAATTAGAAGGCTCTGGTCAATGATGTTGCCATTTGTGAAAGAAGGACAGTGAGTCCTGCCTCGGTGGACAATGACTGGCCTGGGGGGATCTGCTGAGGGGAACGAGGGAAGCCATCCTTTATTACTGGGACCCATGGGTCACATGAGAAGGATCGTCACAGCAGTATATTCAAGGCAGCCCTGAGGACAGAAGGAATTTCCTTGTGCCTTGGCCCCGCTTAGTGCCAGCACTACCATTGGCAGTTATTCCACATTGGGCCATCGGATCCAGATGTAGTTTGGGCTGAATATGGCTTCTGCCTGACCTCTAGACCATCCCAGGAGCTGCACCTCCTGGGCCAGAGCCCCCTCCCCCGCACCCCCTCTGACACACCTTCAAGGTGAGCAGCATGGTCAGGAACTTCTGCTGGTCCCCGATGAGCATGGCGTTGCTGATGATGGGCAGCTCCATCTTCACCGCCTCCTCGATGGGCACAGGGGGCACGTTCTCCCCACCGGCCGTGATGATTAATTCTGGGGAGAAAAGGCCAGGGCCCCGACAGGTTTACACCTAGGTCCCTGGTTGGACCAAGACCCAGCCCTCCGTCCCAGCTTGGGGAGGCCAGGGCAGCAGTGATGCCCCGCACAGGAGCAAGATGCAGAACTGGGCCCCAGAAGACATGGTCACCTCGGAGTCCCACCACTCTGCCTGTTCAGCGCCTGCCCTTTCAGACAGCCGTGACTCCAACATGTAATCACTGCACGACTGGGGCTCTCCTATATGTCAAGTTGGCATTTAATAGATGCGTCTTGACTGATGGTAGTTAGATCGCCTTGATTCTATCTAATTAAATCGAGATTAGTTGGTCGTATTCTGTGTTCAGGTCCTGTGCTGGACATAAGGAACAGAATAGAGCAAGACAGTCCCTGGCTGCAGCGAGATCCCAGTGTAGTCAGATAGTATGACAGAGGGGTGCACCCTGACCCAGCTGAATGTTAAACCTGAATAGGAGTTTGATAAACAGAGATACAAGGTCTTTAACTGCAGGTAATAAAATGAGCAAAGACTGGACAGGAAGGCAGGCTGATCACAGAGGCCTCCTGCGCGAGAAGCAGGATGTAGGCAGTGGGAAAAATGGAATGGTTTGGGGTCGAAATTTTAACAAAAATTTAACAAACAATTTTATTGATTGGGGTGAAGAGTAAGGAGACAAGCTGGCCAGAGGGGAAACTGTGTTATGAGTCAAGGTGATCAGACTTAGCTAAGGCAGCAGACATGGAGCGGAGGGGAAGGGTAGGTCCTGGAAATGTAAAAAGACATAATCCTGCTACTGACATGTGGAATTTATCCTTACGATCTCGCTTTTACTATTTTCTCTCTCTTCTCGTTTTTTACCAGTATCTTTTACTACTAATAACACCCACGCATGATAAACCAGTTCTGGAAAGGAACTTTGTTAATCTGATATAGATTATCAACAACAAAAAACCCTGCAAATACATTTCATAATTAAATACTGAAAAGCTCTCCCCGCTGAGTGATCAGGAACAAAACAAGGGTGACCCTCTCACCAATGCCGTCCATCATTGTTCTAGAGGGCCGAACCAGTGCAATTACAGGGGAAAAATAAATCACAGGATTAGAAAGTATTGAGGGCTGCATTGTGTCTCTCTACCCGCCCCCAAAGATCTATCTATTAATGTGAAATTATTTGAAACTTAGGTCTTGGCAAATATAATGAAGTTATGATGAGGTTGCGAGATTCCCATCAGACACCAAAACCAAACCCGCTGCCATCCGTTCCAGTCCGACTCACAGTGGCCCTTAGAGGCGGTCCACAGAACTCCTCCACGGGGGACTGAGGCTGCCAGTCTCAACAGGAGCAGACAGCCTCGTCGTCTTTCTCCCCAACACTGCATTGCTGCTGGTAGGGGCTGTCGGGCCAGCGCCCACTCATAGAAGCTCTGTGTACATCCGAGCACATCACTGCCCGACTCCGTGACAGGCTCACAATCATGATGTTGAGTCTATGATGGCAGCCATGGTGTCAATCCATCCCGTGAGGGTTTTCCTCTTTGTTGGACGCCCTTACATTTTACCAAGCAGGATGTCTTTTTCTAGGGACCAGTCTCAGGAACACATGTCCAAAGTCTGTGAGACCAAATCTCACCATCCTCACTTCTAGGGAGCACTCTGGCTCTACTTCTTCAGAGACAGATTTGTTTATTCTTCTAGCAGTCCAGGGTACTTTCAATATCCTTCGCCAAGCCCATAATATCATGCATTGATTCTTCTTCTGTCTTCCTTACGCACGGTTCAGCTTTCACATGTATGTGAAGTGATAGAAAATACCATGGCTTGGGGCAGGTACATTTTAGTCCTTTAACATGACATCCTTGAAAAAAAAAAAAAAAAGAGGAGTTGATACCAAGGGCTCAAGTAGAAAGAAATTTTTTTGGAAATGTTGATGGCAACATATGTACAAATGTGCTTAATACTATTGAATGATGGATTGTTATACGATTTGTAAGAGCACCCCCCCAATGCAATGATTGATTTTTTTTTTTTTAAAGGACACCCTTGATCTTCAACACTTTGTTGTGCAGGAGATTTACTCAGTGCAATGCACTGTTGGAACCTGGGACTGCTGCGACCAATGAGCACTGAGTGTGGATGCAAGCAAAACGAGATCCTTGACAGCTTCGATCTTTTCTCCATTGATCACGATGTCACCTATTGGTCTGGTTGTGACGCTTTTTGTTTTCTTTGTTGACTTGCCATCCATACGGAAGGCTAAAGTCCTTGATTTTCATCAACAAGTGCTTCAAGTGCTTTCGACAAGCACGGCTGTGCCATCTGTATATTGCAGTGCATTTAGTAAGCCTTCCTCCCATCTTGATGCCTTTCCTTCTTCATCTAGTCCAGCTTCTCAGGTGATCTGCTAATATAGGGACTGAGTAAGTATGATGAAATGCTGCAACTCTGATGTGCACCATACTTCTCAATGTTGTGCAGTTTATTATAGTCCACACAGTGGAGTGCCTTTGCATCGTTGACAAAACACAAGTAAACATCTGTCTGGTATTCTTTGCTTCTAGCCAGTATTTCATCTGATAGCAGCCATGATGTCCCTCATTCAGTGTGTCACAAAGAGCTAGTTGACACCCACCCGTTTCAAGAGATAGCACATGATCAAGAACGGATGGTATCGGAGGAAGGTGCCCAAGACCCACGGAATGAACTGGCAAGTCACAAGGATCCAAGAGTTGACAGACTACTGATTGACTTGTTTCAACAAGCTGGTAAAGCCCTGGAAGCACTCACTTGTCTGTGCCAAGACATTTAGAAGACAGCTACTTGGACAACTAACTGGACGAGCTCTATCTTTGTATCCATTCCACAGAAAGGTGGCCCCACAGAACACTATCATAATATCACACGCAAGTAAGATTTTGCCAAAGATATTCAATGAATACAGTACATTGACAGGGAGCTGCCAGAAATATATAGCTGGGATTTTTATAAGGAAAGAGATTTGCAGATATACACATAGGTAAACACCCAAAGGGAAGATATCAAGTTAGTGGCTGAAATGGGAGGGACACACGAACAGCCAAGGAACACTAAGGATTGGCAGCAATCACTTGAAACCAGGAAGAGGCCAGACAAGATTCTTTGGCACCTTGGTTTCAGACTGCTCGCCTCCAGGATGGGGAAAGAATACATCGTCTGTGTTCTTTTAAGCTACCTGTTGTGGCAATTTGTTATGGCAGTGCTAGGAAAATCATAAAGATGGGAAGAAAGAAAACTGTCATCATTTGCAGGTGAATGATTATGTAACAAACACACTGTCATCAGATCAATTCCGATCATGGTGACCCTATAGGACAGGTTAGAAATTCCCCTTAGGGTTTACGAGACTATAACTCTTTACAGGAATAGAAAGCCCCATCCTTCTCCTCAGGAGTAGTTGGTGATTTCGAACTGCTGACCTTGTGGATAGCAACCCAACGCACAGCCACTATACTACCAGGGATGCTACAAGGTCAATAACCAAAAAACAAAAAACATTTCTATATACCAGCAACTAACACAGAAAAACAAAATCAAATAATAAACTACAGTCTTTACAATAGCATCAAATGTAAAATACCTAGTCTAAAGAAAGATGCAAAATCCTCATGCTGAAAATTACAAACCATCATTGAGAAAAATTAAAAACTTAATAAAGAAATGATCCCAGAAGACTCAATATTAAAAGATGTATGTATGCGCTCACCAAATCGATCTATAGCTTCGATGGAATAAAAACCCTGAGGTTTATGTGTGCGTGTTTTGCTGACTGTAATACTAAAATTCCTATGGAATGCGAACGGTCAAAAATACCCAAGGCCTTGTAGAAGAGGAAGGCCAAGGCTGTAGGACTTCCATAACCAGATTCCAGCCGTCACAGAACCACGAGGAGCCCCGGGGATGTCAGAATTAGGCGCTGGGCTGCGGTCCCCGGGCCAGCAGTTAGAAGCAATGAGGGAAAGAGACGGGCCTTCTTACAGTCTCAGAAACTCACAAGGGCAGTTCTACCCGGTCCTAGAGAGTTGCTATGAGGCGGCATCCACTTGATGGAAGTCAGTTTGGTTTTCTGCTTTATCATAGAGCTACAGAATTGGAGTGCTGGGCTATTTAGTACAAGGACAGACAACTAAAACAGTCTGTAAAACAAACAGACAGGGACCTACACCTATGCAGCCCTGGGTGCTGGAGCAGCCACATGGAGACCCCTGCCAGTGCTGAGATGCTTACCCATCCACTGATTCGGCTTTCCTCCTGCAGTCTGCATCATTGCGTATGTTTTGTGAGATGCAGGAGGACTTTGTGGATTGGTGTTGGACATATGGGTTAATGGGTTAATGTTGGACTTTAAAAAAAACAGACAGACCCCATCACAGTTACTTGACTTGTGACAAAGGTTTGAAGGGCACGAAGGGAAACTGGTCTTTGCGGGAGATACCGGAGCAGCTGCATATGCATACAGATAAAATACATCGGGAGCCCCACCTCTTGTCGCATACGCGGACCACAGCTGCACAGGGAGAAGGGAAGACAAGAATCGATATGCTTGAACTGTGGAAACCCTCGACGAGATGGGGTGACACGGTATGCACAGAGCGGACTCGAACAGCCCACGGAGCGGAAACGACGCTGCAGGGGAGAGGGCTACCTTTCCTCGGGAGTGTGCGCCCGTCCGGAAAATGAGCAACGACAACCAAACCTCTCACCCGGGAATTGTTACCAGGCAGTCCACTCTGGAGGTGGGGGCAGAATGGGTGAAAAGAGAACCCCCCCTCTTCCGGTACAGGGGTGCGGATCCTTAGGAGAACTGGCAGAGGTGGTCTCTCCATCAGGGCTAGCGACCACACGCCGCTGTCCTTCCGCCAGGGGCAGTAAGACGTCCCGAACACCTGAGGTGTGGCCCTAGTGCCTTCAGTTCGAATCCCACTCTGTCGCGCACGCGCAGTAAGCATTCGTTTCCCTCGCAGAGAGCAGCGGGGCTTTCCCATCTGATTGCTGCGGATACGACGCCCACTCGGCAAACACGGCACCCTTCCAGAGAGGAATCCTCAGCCTCCCGGGGAGAGCCAAGTTTTCTCCGCGGGGGAGCTTATTTTGAAGGCTCACATTTTATTATTATTATTTTAATTTAATCATTTTATTTGGGGCTTGTACATCTCTTATCACAATCCATACATCCATCCGTTGTGTCAAGCACATTTGTACATTGGTTGCCTGCATCATTCTCAAAACATTTGCTTTCTACTTGAGCACTTGGTATCAGTTCCTCATTTTCCCCTCCCTCCTTGCTCCCCTCTCCCTCATGAACCCTTGATAATTTTATGTTAGTATTTTGTCATATCTTGCCCTGTCTGACGTCTCCCTTCACCCACTGTTCTGTTGTCCATCCCCCAGGGCGGAAGTTATATGCAGATCCTTGTAATCGGTTCCCTCTTTCCACCCCATCCTCCCTCCACCAGATTTTATTATAATTATTATTTGTTGTTGTCGATTCAATTTGTGTTGTACTCCCCCAGACTCTTGGCATATAAAGCAAAAACAAAAACATTGTATTTATGCTTTCACTCCCACAGAAACACTTGCCTGGTTTGTCTAGGGGACCTAATCCCAGCTCATGTAACCTAGCCGGCTGACCTAGGGCAAGTAACTCAGCCTCTCGGGTCCTCATCAACAAATCTGGTAGTAAGACTACCTGCCTCATGGCAGGTATCATCGATCCCATGATCATCGAGTCCAGTGGATTCTGACTCAGAGACGCCCTCCTATGGGTTTCTTTACAAGCGCAGCCAGCCTCATCTGTGTCCTGCGGAACAGCTGGTGGGTTCAAACCGCTGACTCGTGGTTAACGGCGCAAGGCTTAACTCGCTGTGCCACCAGGGTCCCACTCACTGCCAAGGAGTGGATTCTGACTCATAGCTACCCTCTAGGGCAGGGTAGCAAGGTCCCTGTGAGTTCACGAGGCTGTAACTCTTCACAGGTGTCGGGAGCCCAGTCTTTTGCTTGCAGAGTAGCTGGTGGTTTCGAACCACTAACCTTGCAGTTAGCCACCAGGGTGGGGGGAGTCGTGCGGAGCCAGCAAAGGTACTTGAGAAGGGTTCAATACTTGGCAGGGGGTTTTCGAGTCGCAGCCTGGAACCCCGGCCCATCAGTGGGGGAGCTCACCTTTGAGACGCCCGGTGATGTAGAGGAAGCCGTCAGTGTCCAGGTGGCCCGAGTCGCCAGTGTGGAGCCAGCCCTCGGCATCGATGGCCTCACACGTCTTGTCCTCCATGTTCAGGTAGCCCATGAAGATGGTGCGGCCCCACAGGCAGATCTCGCCTGTGCCCTCCATGTCCTCATTCACCAGCTTCACCTGGCAGCCTGGCACCACCTTGCCTGAGCTGGGCCACAGGGCGGGAGGTGTAGTCAGAGAGGGGGGCCAGATCCCCTGGGAGTGGGGCAGGGAAGGGGCAACCTCTCCCTCTTTCCTGAGGGATATGAGGTTTCCCTTCTCGGGGCTTTTCTGTTTTAACAGGGGTCTTAGAACTGAAAGGTGGCTGCATAAAAGCTTGTTACGGACATAAGGAATGGGTTCCTGGGGCAGGAACCTCAAGGACTATGTTGGCCGAGAGGGGAGGTATGCAAAAGACAGCTAACCATCCTACAGATCACCCTCCACAGCTGACTGCCCCTACCGCCCACTAGGAAGCTGGCTGTGTCCCCCTACCCCCACCCCCACCCCCCTCCAACCCTAACTGGAGCCTGGGCCATCAGCTGTCCCAGGACAGCTAACACACTCCCACTGGAGGGAGTGGAAAGCACGACAAACCAAATTCAACTGCCAAAGAGTGGGTCCTGACTCACAGCAACCCTACAGGGCAGAGTAGAATGGCCCATGTGGGGGTTTTTTTTAAAATCATTTTTTATTGGGGGCTCATACAACTCTTATCACAATGCTTACATACATCAATTGTGTAAAGCACATTTGTACCTTCGTTACCCTCATCATTCTCAAAACATTTGCTCTCCACCTAAGCCCCTGGCATCAGCTCCTCTTTTTCCCCCCTCCCTCCCCGCTTCCCTTCCCTCATGAACCCTTGATAATTTATAAATTATTATTTTGTCATATCTTGCCCTGTCTGAAGTCTCCCTTCACCCACTTTTCTGTTGTCAGTCCCCCAGGGAGGAGGTTATATGTAGATCCCTGTAATTGGTTTCCCCTTTCTACCCCAACCTCACTCCACCCTCCTGGCATCACCACTCACACCACTGGTCCTGAAGGGATCATCCGCCCTGGATTCCCTGTGTTTCCAGTTCCTATATGTACCAGTGTACATCCTCTGGTCTAGCCGGATTTGTAGGGTAGAATTGGGATTATAATAGTGGGGGGGGGCATTTAGGAACTAGAGGAAGGTTGTGTGTTTTATTGCCCCTGTGGGTTTTTGACACTGAATCTTTACTGGAGCAGAAAGCCTCTCAAGGAATGGCAGATGGATTTGGACTGCTGACCTTGTGGTTAGCAGCCCAACACATAGCCCAGTACCACGCTGGGGCTCTGTGGAAGGAGGGAAGAGGAGAAATTCTTTCATCACAGGAACAAGGAGGCCACCCCTTGTTCCCGCTCTACTGAAGAGGAAACTGAGGCTCCGAGAAGCACGAGTGGGGATGGGGACCCGTAGCCCAGTGGCTGGATCTCTGGGGCACAATGAATATGGAAAGAGCCAATAGTCTCATGGACTTGTGCACATGTATTGTGCCGGCTGTCCCTAGCCTCACCTGTAGAGCCGGTAGTTGTCGTGGCTGGACATGAAGTGGGGACCTGAGGTCTCACTGAGCCCGTAGCCAGCATACAAGCGGATGTTGAGGCCCAGGAAGAAGTGCTGTGTCTCTGCGGTCATGGGGGCCGCCCCGTAGAAGCTCTTCTGACACCTGGCAAAGCCAAGGGCCTGGCGGACCTTGCCTAGCACCAGGTAATCTGCCAGGCGGGTTGTGAAGGGCTTCAGGTCGCTGATGGGAGAGTGGGTATGGTCCACAGGGGAACAGACACATACTTGCACGTTAAAAGGCTGGGGAGTCACTGGGCACACACTGGCATGGCCACTCTACTTGTCTCCTCGGACCGGTCAGTGCCAACACTGTTAATATTTCCAATATTGGCCCTGCCCACAAACATGCATGAATGCAAATGTGGGTGCCCATGTACACACGGCCACCTCCCGATGTGTCTTGTGTTAGGAACGTCCTAGAACAAATTCAGCTCCATCCAGGTAGCAACACAGATGTTAGAAAATTTGCACACATATACACACACGTGCAGAGATGGAAAATATACATGCATAGAGACGTGTGCAAACTCGTGTCCAAGTCCACGAGTGCATACTCACTTCTCAGGTCTTGCAAATGAAGCTGTGGGGGCGCAGACAAGTGTGTGCGTGTGTGTTTGTGTCTCATTAAGTGTGAGACCATCTCACAAACACACTGGCAAGGAAGGATAGTTCCACGTGGACACCAAGCTCCATTTCCACCCCCACCCCACCCTCCTGTAGACCAATCCTCCAGGGGGGATTCTAAAAGCAACCAAAGGGTGAAAGGGTGTGGGCGGAGAGAAGACAGTGGTTCCTGGTCCTGGGACCGGTGGTCCCACCACATGACTCTTGTCTAGTTCCCCACTAAGGGCAGGAGCCATCCCAGACAGAACCCAAAGGTGGGTAGACTGTCCCCAGCGGGGACACACAAGGGTCCCCTAGAAAGGACACATTGATGGGGCCAGGACACACCTGAACTGTCTGATCCTGAGCTGGACACAGGGCCCTCCTGTTCCCTGCCCTCTGTACCTGTCCGGACAGCTGAGGTTCTGCTCCAAGGTCACCGACATGGCCCACAGCAGCATCTTGCGCCGGATGAAGCCAGACTGAGCTGTCACCTCCTGGATTCGCTCCATGATCTTCTCCCACACCCGAGGCACTCCCATGTGGGATGTGGGCTCCACTTCCCGCAGGGTGTTTATCAGGCTCCCCTGTTCACAGCCAGCAAGAGGGCAGGCCTGCTGGTTCAAGTCCAGTCGGGGCCCAGGGAACCCTCTCCTCAGTCAGTCAGGCACACTCCTTATAGGCATACCTACACAGTGCCCCTCAAACAGGGACCCATACTCCTGCACTCCACTTGTGGCACAGACTGTTGGCTGCTCTGCACCCCCCTCCCCCAACACACACACACACACACACACACACACACACACACACACACACACACCATCAGCCTCCCTGCCACCCTTCTTTGCTGTCATCCAGTTGTCAAGATGGTCAGATGTTTCCAAAGAATCTCAGTCCTTCCCTAGCCCAGGGGGTGGGGACTCTATCACCCACCACAGTGATCGGTTTAGGAGTGGCATGTGACACCACTTGGGCCCATGAGATGCCAGGGAGTCTGCTAAGGGCAGCGGTTCTCAACCTGTGGGTCGAGACTCCTTTAGGGGTCGAATGACCCTTTCACAGGGATTGCCCAATTCATAACAGTAGCAAAATTACAGTCATGAAGTAGCAACCAAAATAATTCTGTGGCTGGGGGTGGGGGGGAACTGTATTAAAGAGCTGCGGCATTAGGAGGTTGAGAACTACTGTAGCGCTTCTAGGAAAGTTCCCCTCCCTGTTTAAAAGGATGCCAAACTCTGATTTGGCTGCAGGAGCCTGGCTGCAGAGACTGAGCCGGCCTCCCGAGTGTAGGAGGATGGGGTTCTGGACCACTGGACCCCTCATTGGGTTTCTCCTGCCGGCAGGCAGTCCTGTTCCCTGCTTGCTCGTGCTCCGTGGAGTCAGGCTGTGCTCACTGCCGCGGAGATAACTGTCTGGTGAGCGCACTGGGGTGGCACCCTCACAGATGCACGCGCCAGGCCAACAAAGGCCTGTCCACACTTGCCTATGCCCTTGCACACCCACTTGGCCACCCACACTGGCAGAGAAGCAGGCTGACCTTCAGGGCGTCGGGCTCAGCAAAGCAGACCTGGGCTCCCCACTGGATGCCAGTCCACAAATCATAGATCTGGGCAGCGATGTGGCTAAGGGGCAGGTAGCTGACCACCACTTCCTGTTGGACTTCTGCTGGCTGGATGTCACCGGCCTGGCTACCGTAGCGGGCTGTCCACGTGATCTGAAGGACAGGCAGGTATGCCCCAGAAATGTCTTGGGCTTGGGGGCTTGGGACTACTTCTTCGGAGTGGGGGCCCTCCCAAGCCCTGAAAAAAAACCCTCCCTAGCCCCCTCATTCAGTCTGGACCACAGATGGCAGGCTGTTCTGTTGACCCAGTTCTCTCTGCCAATGGGCCAGAAGAGCCTTCCCCAAGGGCTGTCAGGGCACAGCCTTTGTCTCAGACCCACCCACTAAGCCCCACTGCCCAGGACATCTGTCCTACATTGTCCTGACTCAGCATCACGCCCTTGGGGGTCCCAGTAGTGCCGGACGTGTAGACCAAGGCGCAGCACTGGTTGGGCTGCTGGGCACTGATGATGGTGTCCAGGGCTGCCTCTGACACCTCGTTCCCTAGATCCATGAACTCCTCCATCTGCAGCCGGGCGGGGAGAATGGGCATTCCGAGTCAGTCAGGGGAGCCTAGACAGACCCCACCCGGTGCCTAAGGCCCCAGGACTCGCACCGTGAACACGTTGTCCATCTTCTCCGGCAGAGGTTCCCGGTAGATCACGACGGCCTTCAGATGTGGCAGCTGTTTCCAGATCTGGATTGATGCAACAAATAAATGAGGTTTCTACAAGGAAACGTGACCTTTGGGAAGACCCCATCATCTCCAGGTGTTAGTCGGCCTGGCCGGCACTTGGTGGGACAGGGTGCTGGGTCCCCTGTCTTTGATCTTTGGATCTAACAGGTCAACTGGCCCCCTCTCCCGGAGTTTCCCCCTCAGGAAAAGATGGGGACAGGCAGGAGGCTGGGAATGACTCCCTACTAAAGGGAAACCTCGAAGCAGCCTGGAAGCTGGCTGACCAAGCAAACTCCGAACAGCCCCAAAGGGAGTGTTGCAAGTGCAGGGACAGGAGGAGGCTGGGGGAGGACAGAGATACATGGTCTTGGTGTACGTAATGGGCAAACTGTGAATACACGGGGGCTTCAGAAAGTTCCTGGGGAAATGGAACGAAAAGATAATGGAGTTCTTCCAGGAACTTTTTGAAGCCCTTTGTCTATGGATGTGTGTGCGTGTGTGCGTGTGCACGCGAACTTCTGCTTACAGAAAGGGACCCTGGGAAGTTAAACTGAAAACAAATCCAATAGGTAGAGAAAGGAATGGGCTGAGATTCAAGGGAGAGAATTAACTTCTTTTGAATGTATCCTGCTTTATACTTTTGACTTTAGAATCAGATGTAAATATTCAAAGCAGCTGTAATCATTCAAAAAGGAAAATTAGGTGAGAAAGGGCAAAAGTTTCCCTAAATAGGGAACACATCTGACTATCGATCATGGTGACATAGTTACACGCAAAGAAAGCATGGCATCAAGTGGTTTTAGAACACACAGGAATCAAGTTGACTACATCTGGGGGAAGAGACAACAGAGAAGCTCAAAACCATAAGCCAAAACAAGGCCACGGACTTACTGTGGAACAAACCATCAGTTGCTCCTATGCACATTTCAGGGGGAAGCTGAAGAAAATGGAAACAAGTCCATGAGAGCCAAAATACCCCCTGCAGTCTATCCCACCTGAATGTGGGCATTAAGCACGAACGACTCAAGACCAGGTGGAGTGTGTGATGACATCAAGAACATCACACACGAAGAAAGCAAGCGGTAAAGAGAAGACCACAGTGGGTCAGAAGGGACTCTGAAACTTGCTTTGACCCTAGAGCCCCTTAAGACACGATGAAGGCGAAGAGCCGAACAGAGCATTTCAAAAGGCAGCAGGAGAAGACCAAACCAAACATTATCATGAAACCTGCAAACACCCAGAGCCAGAAAACCAGACGGGAAGAACACACTCAGCCCAGCTCATGTTGAAAGAACCGAAGAAAAATTCAAGCCTCTGCTTGAACTATCGGAGGATTCCATGAGCAAAATACTGAAGAATGCAGGAAGCATCAAAAGAAGGAAGAAACAGAGTCAATGGATCGATAAAAGAACTGGTTGACAGTCAACCGTTCCAAGAGATAGCATATGACCAAGAACTGACGGTACGAAAGGAAGAAGTCGGAGCTGCATTGAAGGTATTAGGGACAAAAAGGCTGCAGGAATGCCAAGTGAAATGATAAAAAACAGATACAGTGCTGACAACACCACGGGTCAACGCCAAGACAGCTAGCTCCCTGACTAGAAGAGATCCCTATGTGCCCATTCCAAAGAGAGGTGACCCAACACAAGGCAGAAATTACAAGAAGTAAAACTTGGCTGAATATAAGTTAAAAACAGTTGCAGCAGTACATTGACAGGGAATTGCCTCAAGCTGCATTCAGAAGAGGACATGGAACAAGGGATACCACTGCTGACATCAGACGATCTTAGTGGACCGCAGAGAATGCCAGAAAGATGTGCACTTGTGTTTTATTGACTATGCAAATGCATTTAACTGTGTGGAGAGTGGGGATTCCAGAACACTTAATTGTGCTTCTGTGGATCCTGTACATGAATCCAGAAGGAGTCATGAGAGGATACCACATGGTTTAAAATCAGGAAGTGTGTCAGGGTTGTATCATTTCACCATATTTATTCGACCTGAATGCTGAGCCAATAATCTGAGACGATGGATCATCTGAAGAGGAATGGGGCATCACGATTGGTGGTGGCTTGCCAGAAGAGGAAGTGAAGCGCTTATTGATGAAGATCAGAGGATACAGCCTTCCATATGGATTACAACTCAAGATAAAGAAGACACTTCCGGCAGGAATCTTGTACATATTCCACTAGTGGCTCTTATTTCTCTATGGCCCTGGGCCTCTTGTTCCTGGCTCACTCTTATACCTAGCGGAATGGCAAAAAGGACCAATTCCTTAATAAAACCGTCTACACCTTGTTTACATGCTCCCACCCAGTCATTTGGGGGAAGTCACAAAGATGATGGCTGGAAGAGCCATACGAGGCATTTCACTTCACCACAGCTTCTGAAGCTGCTTTTGGCCTGTGGGCTTCCTAGACTGTAGCTGTTGGCGGGAGCAGAAAGCCCCGTGTTTCTCTTGAGGGAGGCTGGTGGTTTCGAACTGCCATCATTGTGGATCGCAGTCCAGCGCGTAACCACAACACCACCAGGGCTCCCGAGTTCCAAGTACAGGATATAAGAATGTATGTTGTGTAAACATTAATCATAGCAAAACTAGAGGGCTTATATTTCAGACTGAGCAGGTCTGGAACTAGAGCTGCGGTCAAGGGTAAACCAGGAGATTTTGGAACATTAAGGGAGTCAATTCATCAAGAGGACCCGATGGCCCCCTCACCCCCAGGAGATACCCCAACCTGAATGGCTAGTCACTGGAGGTAGTGAACTGCCCAGGCATCCTGACCCCACCCAAGGTCATTAACTTCACGTGTGACCTAGGCCAAGTCCATTTCCTGACCTGTGACCTGACCTGCCTTGCTCTCTGTGTTGTGTGGGGTGGGAGGCTGGGGAGGGAGGGTGAAGGGACATCGTGGGTGGGAGAGTCCTTGGTAAGCTGGAGACAGGGTGGTCCACGGGGGTGCCCAGCCTCTGTTCCTCCGCCCTCTGTCCCCCAAACCTTCAGGATCTTTTCCAGCTGCTTCTGTGTGTCGACAACAATGACATTGGCGCGGCAGTCATGGGCGATGAACTGGCAGGCCTCTGGGGTGCTGGTCGTGTAGATGCCAGTGACGATGCCACTGCAGGGAGGGTTTGGGTCTGGGTGGCTGCAGAGGGGCTTCCCACCCCAATGAGCCTGCAGGGAGTGCCCTGGCCAAGACGGCCAGAGCTCCCAGAGAGGAGGCCCCAGGCACTTCTAGGGGAAGGTTTGGAGGAGAGATGGCAGGTTAGAGGAAGTGGGTGGCCTGGCGGGGTGGAGGAAGGTGGGAGATCTGCCAGCGTCCCCAGAGGTGGACACATACCCAGGCTCTACATAAGACATAGCATCACCCTCTCCACTCTGCCCACCTCCCACCCACTCGAGACCTCGCCCCACCCCCCACCCCCAGCCACTCACCCTGCAAACACTGTGCCCACGGCCGAGTAGAACCACTCTGGAGAGTTGAAGCCGAGGATGGCCACACTGTGGGCCCGCTCCAGGCCGAGCTCCAGGCCAAAGGTACACAGGACAGGTCAGCTGGGCAGGGAAGGGGCCTCTGCCCCACCCCCACCATCATCCTGTATCCTCTCGGGGACCGCCACCTGTATCCTCTCGGGGACCACCTTTCCAGGGTCAGGCCAATCAGAGAACTCTCAACAGCCCTTGCTGCCCTACCCAAGCCCTCCCCGGGTTGCCCAGCCCCTCTGGCTAGCAGGAGAGGCTTCCAGCCCCACTTGGAGTTGCTAATAAACCCTCGGCAAAGGGGGTTGTTTTCACAGGTGTTATGATTGCAAAGGGCCTTGCTGGGTTGGGGTTAGGTGAGGGGCACCTGATAGCAGGCCAGGGGCCAAGGGAGGGGACAGGCGGCGCCTTGGCTTTATGAGGCCCCCTCACCTTCAGGAAGCCCTTGGCGGCTTTGCGGGAGAGCAGGTAGTACTGGAAGTAGGAGATGCGTTCCCACTTGCCCTGGTGCTTGAAGCCCAGGGCGCTGAGCTTGCCGTACTTGTCCAGGGCCTGGTAGAACATCTGGTGCACCGTGCAGGGAGGCTGCGGGCAGCTGGAGTCGATTCGCAGGCGGACTCGCCCATCGGCCCGGCACGTCCACAACGTCTCCTCTGCGGGGAGAGGAGACCAGGCTTGGTTCAGGACAGTCTGAGTGTCCCCAGGGCACCCCGGTCCTTCCCTGGGCAGAACTCCCAGCCTTGCTGGTGCCACCAAAGCCCTGGGCACTGAGCCCTGGGGGCTGGCAGGGGAGCCAGCTGCAGGGACAGGCTGGGAGGCTGCCTGGAGGAGGATGTTGGACGTGCCCTGGAGGATGGGCAGGTGTGGGATGCAGCAAGCGAGAGGAGAGGGAGTAGCTGGAGGCTGAGGCCGAGGCCCTGAGGTCCCAGACCTGGCCCTGCACTTCATCCAGCTGTGCTGTGCTGCTGGGAGTGGGAGGTAGGCTGCCGCAGAGCAGGACTCTGGGATCTCTCGGAGCCTGCAGGCTCTCCACGCTTCCCCTGCTGCTGGCCACAGGAAGTGGTGTTTGTTTGTCTCTGCGGAGTGCCAGGAACCCCCGTGCAGAGGGCTTCCTCCCAGCATCACACAGCGAGGAGGCGGCAGAGGCTGGGCCTCAACGCCGACACACCTGACACCACAGTTCACCCTTGAAGCACAGTCTTGGGGCACCAGCCAGCCTCTGAGGACCAGGAGGCTTCCCAGGGCTGTGGCGGGTGGCGGGGACACCGACTTACAAGGAGATGCACAGTAGGTGCGAGTTTGGGCAAGCCACTAGCCTCTGAGTCTCCTTGTTCTGGAGCAAAGTTGAGGGGCTAATTCTTGGGGCTTGTGAGGATGGAGAGAAGCGGTGTGCATGGGGAGTCTGGATATACAACCGGTGCTCAACAAACATGCCCTTCCATCCACCCTTCCATTTCCAAGTTCTCCAAATGGCTTGCGAAGGAAGCCTGGTTGGGTGGTCCAGGTTCTTTGGGTACCTGGAACCTCCTTTCCTTGGGGCTAGGGTGGCCGTTCTTAGAGCTGACCCATGGACTGCAGGGGGGGGTGTGGGGGCTGGCTGGGCTGGCTGGGGCTGCACAGACCCTTGCTGATTGCACCCAAGCTGGGTAGAGAGGCCCCAGGTCTGCTTCTGCTTTGTGGGACCGACCGGGCTTCCAGGTGAATTCAGTGGTCTTTTCCTCTCCTGCGACCTCTTAGGTGGCTGTGACCCTGAGGATGGTGGGGTGGAGTGGGTGGGGGGGCTCTTCCTCCTGTGGAAACCCAGGAGTTGCATGTGCGGGGGCTATGAGAGGGGCTCCCTAATAGGCAACTCGTAATAATAAAGCGTCCTGTGCGGCCAGGCCCCGCGGGAATGCAGGAGGGGAGGAGAGGGCACTGCCTTGGGCCTTCAGTGTCAGCAGAGACCAAGGCCACGCTGCTCACTGCCTCCTAGGATTGAGGTTCCTGCCGCCAGCTGCTGTGGAGCTCCTCGTGCTTGGGAGGCAGGTCGGATGTGAGCCCAGTGCTGAGGGACCCTTTCAATCGCCCCCTCAGGGACCCCCAAGCCCTGGAAGACTCAAAGTCATGCTCTTCATGCCCTGGATTTTGCTCAGAGTCCATGCACCCAGCAGACCAATGCAAACTAGCCAGACTGTGGAGGTGGGTAAACCTGGGTTTAAATTCAAGTCTGCCTCTTACTGCTGTGTGACCGCAGGCAGG